CTTGACTGAACTTAAATCGCCCTAGAAAAGAGCACAATATTAGTGCTTAGCTGTGTTTTGAATGGCTCACGGTGCCATTCCAGCTCTCTATGACACGTCATCTGGTTCATGTGGAAGCTTTTTCCTGGACAGGGTTGAAAACTAAAAAATTGAAAGAGTGCTTTCTCTAAACTCAACAGGTTTTAACTGGAAAGTCTTATTAAAACACTCTACAATCATGCTGTGCACTTGCCTTGCCAAATATGGTCATGTTTCCAGAATCCCTGAGTGCAGACACATAAAGCAACCAAGCTACCTTTACTGCAGTGATGCTGTTAGCATGTTTGGAGAGTCTACAGTGACGGCTAGGTGCCAATGACCTGCAGGCAGACAGTGTGGCTGTGTTTGTCTGTCCTGAAGCTCTGTGGGATCTCTGTATTCTCAGTCACTGACTTAACTTTGTTTTGGCCCATCCGGCTGCAAACTGCATTGCTTGGCCTGAAAAATAACAACAGAGATCCTCAAGTTTGTTGAAAACACTAATGCTCTTGAGATGAGTTGTTGCATAGCATACATGGGTGTAGCCCTGAATCCTCAGGCTATCAGGGGACAAGTGAGAGCACTTATATCTGTCAGTCACTCTTTTATGCCCTATTGCTCCCATCTGCCTTCCTCAGAATGGTGTTAGCTTACATGAACACAAATGTTCTTATAGATACAAACTCATGCCCCATTCATGGTGTGTAGAGTTACTTGTTTTGTCATCAGTTATTATGGAGCCTAGTCTCACGTATTTGTGTTGGTTCAGTTACATGATTTGTCCTCTGTTTTGAATCTATTATAACTTTTTTTTCCTACATTTTTCCCATCCTCTCAATTGAGGAGTTGAAGAAGAGATCAAGTATCGCCCCTGTGTTTCCCAAAAGTTCCATGAACCCTTTTGTGTGACAGCAGACCTAAGCTGGCACTGGCCCAGTGGCATTTGAAGGCAGGAGGATTAAATCACACCTTAAAGTGAGTTGTAAATAAAGAGTCCACGAGCGTCAACATCTATCTTTGGTGTGTTTGGTTACCACTGTTTTGAGATAACAGTTTAGGGATGGACAGAATGTGGACAGACATAGCCTCAGGGTGTGAATTTTAGCCATATCATTTCCTCACAGACAAACTCTTAACTTAGAAAAGGGAAGGATTTTCACTGGAATGTCCTTTCATCTGAGGATACCCATTCACAGGATTCATGCCTATTAGTTTCAAGGGTTGTGTAAGTGTAAATGTGTTTATATGGTGCAAACTGATAGGAAAGGCGCAAAATGAACTGCCTTTTGTTCAAATGGTACAATATAAAGTGTACAAGTCGAGTGGAAATTTTAAACAGTGAATGGTTGCATAAAAAACTGTTTTTCCTACTAACAAAGGAGCCAGTCATTCACAGTCCATGGATGGGTAGTAGTTAGGATGGGTAGTAGTTATCCATACCTGAAATGCTTTGTATGATTCATTCACTTACGTTTTAATGGTAATCTCTTGCAGTGCTTTTTGACTTCAAAGCCCATCTTTATCTCTATCAGCGTGTTTACATAATTAAATTGAGCACGTAAGGGGATATTTTGTGATTTATTTGGCATTCAAGTTTTTTGGGGCGACTTATAATTTCCCAAGAGATTAACATGCTGTGCTGAGAGATACTGTGTTACACTCAAATAAGGTGGAGAAATGTTTGTGGTTAAAACCTAAAATGAATCACAACTTGTGGTCTTGATGTTTATTTTATGGCCTGACTAGACAAATTAGAGAACAATATGAGCAAATTACTCTATAAAACTTGCCAGAAAGCTTTTAGTGTAATCATATGTAGGTCAGAGCGTTTGATCTGTTTCCAGAATAGTCTTATTATCCCAGAAGATCACATGTTTCATATTTACTTGTTCTCTATTGACAGTTAATTCTCAACATACTGTTGAATACAATGAGATCCACACAGACACACAGACACACAGACACAGACATACACTCACAGTGTTTCCACTGTTAGTCTTGTTTTGACAGGGCTAACACAAATCTGGAACTCTTCAGTTCGAACATAAGAGCCACCATCGAACACATCCTATAACTAAAATAGAATTGGAAAGCTAAAAAAAAGGATCCTATTTCAAAACTTTGTTTTATATTAAATTAAGGGGTAAGGAGTAAAAGTAATGCTTGTCTACATAAACAAAATGATGTTTTCTTTTAATTATAAGCTATGACTGGAATTGAAGCCGACAGTCCAACTTTTCAATTCAGTGCTCCTTGTATATGTGCGCAAACACTAGACTGGTGGCAGTCTTGCGTTTTCCCAATGAGACGTGAACTCACGCAGACTCGCAGGGGAGGTACATACTTGCTTAAATGCAAAGCTAAAAAAAGATGATTGACTGTTGCCAAGAAAAACAACTGATGTCTCGAGAGCTAGAAACAATTACCTATGTTGTTCTGCCAGGTCAGTGCCTGTGGTCGGGGAATAAAGACAAATAGCTGCACTAATGCACTTGGTCCTGTGGAGATGGAGGAGTTTGATAATAGTGGACTCCACGGGGCACCTGGGTGTTGCTAAATGCCTCATTAGGGGTGGTCTCTATGTGAAAATGCCCACGGCCAAAGCACTTCTTCACCATCTGCTTCTTTCTCATGGCTTCTGGCAACTTCCACTGCAGAAATTATATCTTCAGTCAAGCTACTTTATAACATTCATCAAACTCAGCTTTTTCTTCACAGCTTCTCAGCTTCCAGATTGGACTCAGACGATAATTGATGGACATGGATTAGGTTATGGTTTATGTCATATAGGCAGTGAATTTGTTTGATGTTGAGTGCAAACTAGAATAGTCAGATTGTTTTAATTTTGGTGGGAGACCAGAACCAGCAGTTCTTGGCTGTTAGCTTGAAATATGCCACTATTTCTATCATGATTGTGTCCCTGTACTGTATGTTGGCCATGCTGCCAAAGACAACAAGGACTCGAGCAAGCAGGAAATAGGGGTGTTAGCTTAACCCACATGATGCATGCATGTCAGTTTCGCCTCTTTCTCACCTCTCCACTGCTTTTTTTTCCTAATCTGATTTATTCATCCACATTATTAAGAGGTTCCACAGTCATATTTTGTCAACTTCTGCTCAGAAGATGTAGCTCTTCATCTAAAATATCCTGTCACCTTTTTTTAAGGGGCATTCTTGCTAAGGGTAGCTGCACAAAGAGATGTGGGCACTCAAGCAATCGAGAGAGATCCATTACTCATATGTTTCTCACTTGGGCAAAGTCATGTCACTGCTCTGCTGGTGACACTGTAGGGGATAAACCCCGCCATCAGCGCTATCACTGTGACTCAAAGTCTCTCAGACCACATGGATTTAAACCTCACTTTGTCACTCTCTTTGCTGATTGCTCATCCATCACACACAACTCTGTATCAGCCTTTCTCACTCTTAAGGTGTGAAAGTGCCCCAATTTGTCATCTTAAATAAACAGCTGTCTGTTTATCAGGGTGTAATCCTTGTGTTTTTTTAAGCGGCAGGACACTTGGGCTGGTGCCAACCTCACTCTCCAAAAATATGCTTTAGCTTTAAACTTCTGAAAGAAAAACTGAATGCAATGAATTAATGTACAGTTTAAATCTGCAGGTACTCAGAACATTTTCATGATTGCATACCGAATGACAATTCCTGAAAATGACTTTGGTGCCTTCTGTTGCTTTGTGCTAATTCTTTTCATCATATCTCATCCCATCTATGTGTAAGATTGGCATTGTTTATATTGTAACTTGACAGGTTGATTTGTGTTATCTACCAAAGGGGTGAACAGAAATTATTGAGGGTAACACAAAGGTCAAAGGAGTAGTTTTCTTTTGATGCACTCATTAATTTCTTCATTAGTAGTCTTGTTACTTAGTAGCTTGATGGCTGTGTAAAAGCAAGAAAGTTTAAAAAACCTTTGTCTAAGTAAGGAACTGAAAAGGTTTTATGATAGAAACGTACATTGTATTTTTTCTATGCATGACCATTGTGAAGTTATTTTTCATAACTTAACAAGTAACTTTGTGATTTGAAATGTGATTAGATGCTGTTTTTTCGGTTTTATGAATGATTTACTTATGGAGTCTGAAAAAGCACAGTTAAAAAAAGTACCAAAGTCCCTCAATAGAATTGAGTCACTGCTTTGTTCTTAGTTTCTGTTATCTTTTCTTAATATAACACATCAACACAGTATTGTTCTGGGACAGTTCGACGTTGTTTATAAAATGAAGTGTACCTCTCATTTCTTTAAAAATGCAAATTAATTTCACAAACTTAAAGTAATCAACTTACATTGCGTAGGCTATGTGTGTTTACAATATGTATAGATAAAAGTAAATAGTAATCGAAAAATGTTGAAGTTTGTCAAAAACTATGAAAATTTCCTCCACATTCATTGTCGTCTTTGCCTATTAGTGACAGAAATGCCCCCATGGTGGCTCACTCATTCATCTCTTTTCTCAAAGCGTGAATAAATGTCTGTCCCACAGGCCTCTTTAATTCACTGTGAAGTCTTAAACAGGACATGGTTCATTTTTCTACACGGTATGAAAGAAGAGGTGACAGTCTCATTTGCCCGCAATGAACCTCTAGGCTTGTATCATTTCAGGAAAGAATTGAATAAGATATCCATGAGAAAAAGAAGGGAGGGACAGAGAGAGAAACTGGCAGAGGAATGGCCAGCGGAAAATATAAGAATGAGGCTGTTTTGTTGGTCTGACCTTTGTTTTGGGCAAACAGATTTAAAAGCAACACAAAAGGAAAGCCAGCAGCAGGCAACAGCTGAGGTAGAAGGGGCAAAGGATAGGCACATGCCTGCAGGGCTCCATGGTGAAACAGCTGAACTGATATGTGTGTTCATGTCCTCTGTGAAGTTAGATGAGACTGAGCACACCCTCATGCACACTAACTTGCGATTGCTCCTCCCTGTGGCTTGACTCTTTACATTGGTCTCTCCCCAGATTTGCAGAGAAGAAGGAAAACAGAACAAGACTACAATACACATCATGAAGACAGAAGTCTCTCATAATCAGAGTCTGAAAAAATCCAGGCTCCTGTTATGTTTGTCTAGCAGTAATTATGGAAGTAAAGGGAAGAGGACTTCGGTAATATCCCATCCTGGGGTCCCATTAGTGGGACTGATTTTGTTGGCGACCTTTCCTTTTGGAGCTAGCATCAAGCAGAGTGTCCCGAGGGTCAAACTCAGCCACAGAGGTAAGGATTTGAATGTTATATGTATATGTCTACTGAATGAATGGTTCCCTTTAACTTCATACTTGCATTCAGGGTTGAATGACCAAAATAAAACTGAAGTATTTACATTTTAATTATTAAAGTATATATATAAAGTATATATTTTCCTTCTTTATTCAGTTTCATATTCACATAAATTTTACACTAAGAATAAATAATTCACGTTAAAAACTGAGGCAAACGTTTCATTTAAAAAATGTAATGTAAAAAAAAACATATATTTTCACAAAAGATTCTGTTCTAACAGTTTTTTAATCTTCATCACATGCAGAGTCTGCATTACATGTTAATGCTTCTGGTCAATAGAACACAACCATTGAATCCCCTGAATTTATTTATATCTGTGCATGTGTCTATGCGCTTGATTTTACATGTCTGTTTGGTTTGTGCCACCAGAGGAAAAGCAAAATTATTGCACCCTTAAAACCCACTCTAAATTCCAGTACAAACTTTACTTCAAAGTCTCGATCCCTTATGTAGCCTATGGGCCACAAAAAACCACACAAATGAACTTCAGTCTTGCTCCATAAAACTGAATCCCCACTGTGACCTAAAAGTAAACTCACCCTGACTCCAACCTCTAAAGGCTCTCTTTTGGTCAAGGCTACCAAAGCCCAGTGTGGCTGGAAAGAGATATACACATGTGTTCTTAGTGTCCAACATAAATACATTCAAGTAGCTGCAGAAATAATGACTGTGAGACAATGTTTACTTTGCAGTTAGAGTAGCATTTAGTTCTGCACTTTGTCTTATTTTATGTTAGTTCCAGAATAAAGCAGCTAATGTGACTGCATTTTGATTCATGTGTATACATGACGCATCTTTTCTCAGAATTTACCTGGCTATGTCTTGGCTTTAACGGATAACCAGACATTTAGTGTTCATTCATCTGACGGTAACGTGGCATCTCGTGGATCCCTGAGCAGCAACAGCCCAGCTATGACCATGTTTGGCCCTCTCAGTCTGGAGGACTGAGGCAGAAAGAGATCCATCAAAAGCAAATCCTCCACCCAGCGCACACATCACGTCATTCTCTCATCAGTGCACACTGTTCAAAAGCAACACCTCCCAGCAGTGATCACTCTACAAACATCACATCTCATCACCCCCCCTCCTGTGAAAGCACGGCCCCACTGACTGAAGGGTGAAGTGATCAAAGTGAAATCATCCCTGATTGAGTGAACACCCTCAGAAGTGTTCTCAACTGGATGAACTAGCATGAAAATCCCATGTTGAAGGATAAGTTGACCTATGCTGTTGGTGTGTGACACACACATATCCCAACCTCCCTTTGCCCATATTGACATATGGATGTTAATTTCCCTTTATAAATTCTGTACACAAGCAATGGAGTTCTTGACTTAGACTGTGGTTTGTGTGACTTAAAAAAAAGAAATACAAAAAAATAAGATAATTTTAGCCTAATTTATTTTGAGGTCAAACTTTTCCTAGAACATATAACAAATTCATTATTATATTATCGATGAGATGAAAGTGTAACCTTAAAAAAAAGCAAACCTTACAGAACTTTCACATATGTATGTTAATGAGAGGCCAATTACTTGGTTGGTACATTAATTGCATAAATTATTTTTCAAATTGAATATAATGATCCCGTCACTAGCAATTAGCAAATCACCTTGTCCAAGTTTTTAGCTTTGAAACATTTTTCATTGTCAGCACAAATTCAAGCACAACAGACAAAAACAAGGTCAATCAAAAACTTTCTCTGTAAAATAAGCATCATCCACCTGCTCTTTTTTTAAATTGTCCTGTTAATTAGATTTTAAAGCTCTTCTGAGCTCCAGTTGGCTATACAGGTTGTTGGGGACAGTCTTTGAATGACGGTGTGTAGCTCCACGCTGAGCGGCAACAGCCAAGAAGACAGTTTCAATGGACTCATAGTGCCTAGTGTTTACAGAACAGATTACTGTTAGCCAGGGGCTAGAAGGCCTAATCTCTCTCTGAGGTTTAGTCTTCTGGGGGTCATGATGTGTGTGTAGGAGGGGGAGATATCAACATGTGGGGGTTCTGTGTGTGCGAGCTTGCGTTTAAGAGGAGGTATTAAGCAAGACTGCATGGTGTGGAGGGGTCCCAGAAGTTCAAATATTGAGGGTTGCTAACCTCTCCAATCCTTCACACCAAGAGGGTAATCACAATGTCAATCCTGTCAGAGTGACTCCCACAGGACTGCCTCGCTCTGAGCCTGTGTTTACTCAAGGCATGTTGCTATACCGGTGCGCTGAAAGGAGCCTGGTGATGGAGGAGATTTCCTCAGCTCAAGGAGATCAAGGACACAAAGCTGATTGGAGAATGTAGTTGCGTCCAGCTCCCAGAAAACTTTCATTATCATGAGGTCTGAACACGGGGAGTCCCAGGCCAAGTAGTTAAAACGAGCTGCATGTTTTAACTCTATCTATACACTAGTCATAAAATGATACATCTGTAAATACAAATCCAGGGCAAATGGCGTCAGCGAGATGGTTGAGCAAACAGGTATTTCCTGTACCCTCATCAGCAATGAATCTCAGGTTGCCAATCCCAAACGCTACAGTGAGAGTTCATGTTTGCGACGAAGTTCAGTCATCTGCTTTTGAACTCAAAGATATGTTGTGACATACTAACGCAAAGTATAAATGGATGACTGAGTCCTTGTGATAATACCACGATAAAAGCATCGGATAGTCCAGTCAAGTGTGTAATGTCTCACAGAAAATGGATGCTACTGTGTTTAAGATGTCTTTTCTATCAACAATGGTCTCTGAGCTGCTAAACCACTGCAGATTATGGAAATTCAAGTCAAGACTTTCTAAATTTCTCTCTAGACTAGCTAACCCAGTATTTGCATGCTGAAAACTGATCCTACTGAAATCTGTACTGCAGTTAGATACAAATTGTGCTTTTTTACATGGAACCTACAGTCCAAAATGTACTGCTTTCATATGCTTTATTCACTTTGTTTTGCTGTCTCACTGTTTTTCTGGGCCAGAATTAATGCAGGCTAGCAGTGTATCTCTGTTTCTGGGCCCGGTCGACGGCCTGCACTCCCACTCGCTGCTGTTGGATGAGGAGAGGGGTCGTCTCTTGTTGGGAGCGAGGGATCACGTCTACCTTCTTGACCCCGACAATCTGGCCAAAGCCCCAAGAAAGGTAAAGACTTGTCTAAATTACAAATAGAGGGACAAAGAATGACATACATTTGCAGGATAACCAAGCCAGTTATGCTGTGATTTCTGTAAGCTAACAACAGTATGTAAGTTTGATGTATTTGGTTCTTGGACTGCAATACAGAGCAGCTTTAAGAGTCACTGCAACCTTTGACTGAAAGACATTCCCCGAGGGCAAAAAAAACATGTTTGAGTCTTCCATGCACATCACTTGTACTACTCTGGTAAATTCATGCTTGGAGTCACTTAGGGCTTTCTAACCTCAGATATTCACTATGAATAGCTCATTATAACACAGAGTACCATTTAGCTTCGTCTCATGACACTTATACCTGCCCTGCCATTAAGTGGGGTGACGTAAGGTATTTTTCCCCATTACTGTGTTGCTGAAAGGCACTCAGGCGTGTTTTGTTTTAGAGAAGAGCTCACGTCTCAGGCATAGCAGGCTGAAGCTGTCTGTCTGCTAAGGTCAGGGTCATCATGTAGGAGGGTACATGCACACACACACACTTAAAGACAATTGCACATATAAACATTTGCATAGTATGCACATTCACTGTTATGCGTTCACAGAAAGCATATGTTGGGGGTTTTGTAAAAGTGAGTATATGTTTTTTCAGCTGAGATTGATCCATCACTGCTGTTTATTTGATTTTTATCTAGCTGTTTTAACTCGGGTTTTGCTTTCAAACTGTTGCCTTTCGATTGATACTGATGCTGAGCTAATATGCACCAAAACTGAAATTCTGTGTTCCTTTTGAGAGCCAAAAATGTAATTCCACACATGGGGGAAACTTGGTGTTTATGAGCTCGAGAAGAAGCATGCCTGGAAGGGGACCAACACCTACTAAAGCACAGACAGATATGATACTCATAAGCACAGCAGATGTTTCTAACCGGATTTTCAGGTGATAGCTCCTGTGTTGTCATCTTATCTTTTTAAAAAACATGCTTAAAAATCATGTATGTTTTTTGTAAAACCAAGCTATGTAAAGCCTTTACACAGTACACAATGTACTAGATTAACACATCTCATTGTAACACTGTTTTTCTGTAAGAATTATTCACCCACGAATACGTTTGGCGATAGCTCTCCTTGGTAGGATTTAGAGGAGGTAACACGCTAAGAACATAAGCCTGTTATAACACATGTATGAACATGATTCTGCACATTGAAGGAACTCTGGATAAGTGATCTCTCGCACCAGCACCTGGACGTGTTAATCACTATATAAACTGACGTCGTCCATTCGCTGTGGACACGTCACACTTTGATTTATACCATATGCACTTTCATATGAGCGCATGCAAAAAGCAATATGACAATATGAAGTGTCAAGCAAGCAAAAAAAATGCATATGAAATGAATACACATTGAAAGTATTAAACTCCACAGCAGTTTTCAACATGAATGACATATGGCCTTGTTGTCTCTTTTGAAAAATGGTTAAAACAGAAGAAACAATAGTTTGATCACACCCTTCCATTTATTACTTTTACGTTTTTTTCCAGTAACAAGCAACTAAGCATTTGTCTGCCCTGTCTGGTGGCTGTTTCCAGAGTTGATGGGTCTAATCTTGTTTTAAGCCTTAGAAAGCCACTAAAAGTTTTAAGGGATTTTCGCATGCACTCATGGTTAATACTGGGCAAGACAGTGAGGAGTTTACCCTTTAACAAAATCATCTAGAATTGTATATCATACTCCTTAATGTGCAAGTAGTCTGTGTGGCGACACTAAGGCCGAATGTAATATGTATTGTTGCCACAACCTTGTAAACCCTTGACTGATTATAATCCAATTAAGTTCACTGTTATGGTATAAGCAGATGTGCAGCACACTGCAAATTAAACCATACATGTGGTATTCCTGGACACAACAATGATTAGATGGAATGTTCAAATAGAGGTAGAGAATTTCTTAATTGATAGGGGGCAGGTTTAATCCAAAGCTTTAATTTAAAAGTCTGACGAAAACATGAAATTAAAAACACTCACATGAATCTTTTGTTATTAGATCCACTGGCCTGCTCAGAGGGACAGAGTGGAAACATGCAAACTGGCTGGCAAAAATGCAAATGTAAGTATTTTAAGTTGAATTTTTTAAACAAGTGATACTAGTGTACAAGGGCAATGTCCTGTTCAGTCTGGTTCTCCATCTGAGTTCATCCCAGTTTATTTCTGTCTCTACATGTTGCAGCAGGAATGTGCTAACTTTATCAGAGTCCTCCACAATTACAACCAAACACATGTCTATGCCTGTGGGACGGGAGCCTTCCACCCGACCTGTGCTTTCATTCAAACCACTGGCCGCAGAGAGGTAAAGTACATATGAGGGAATCTGAGCTGGAAAAACATTAGGCAGGAGTTCATGAATAAGCTGAAATATTTTGAAATTCTATCTTTCTTTTAATCCTCCAGGATGGTGTGTTCCAGCTGCTGTCTAATACAGTTGAGTCTGGCAGGTTAAAATGTCCCTTTGATCCCATGCAGCAGTTTACCTCAGTCCTCTCAGGTAAGACGACTGCAGGTGCTTTTAGACTAATCTTTTACCAAAATGTAATTGCAATGGAGCATGATTTTCCAAGAAACAAATTCCCTCTGATTTTCCCCAAGCCCTCTATTTACCATTATGAATGGCAAACGTGGCCATTTCTCATCCAACCAACCAGTTTTGCTTTTGTAGCTAGTTGCAAACAAGGGGCATTTTAAAGTCACCCTATTAAATGTTATGAGTTCTTTTTTTGGTTAATTGAGAGTTGTGAAGTGATTCATAAACTGAAACTGTTAAACTGATTGCCGAAATATAATGGCGCTGCTAGCAATTACACTGTGTGCACTGATCTTTAATTAACAACAAAAATGTTTCTTTTTTTTTACAGATCAGTACCTGTATGTGGGCACATCCTCAGATTTCCTGGGAAAAGACACAACATTCACACGCTCCCTCGGGCCTCCACCTGACCAGCACTACATACGCACTGACATCTCCGAAGACTACTGGATCAATGGTACGCACGCAGTTGCGCACGAACACGCTGAGTGCATTCGAAACTTATCGCCTTTTTCCACAAAACTTCCAGCCTCTCTGCCAATACAAAGAGTCTCTCTGTGCCCTCCGGATGGTTATTGGCATTCCAGAGTGAAGGAAACAGTCCACTTATTCATTTAGCTGGAACTTTTATATGAGTGCCATAGCTGAACGGGGACCGCACCTACTGGGGAATTTACAGTGCGCCACAAAGTTCACCGTCTCAGTCACACCACCACATGCATACAGTTAGACACGAGAGCATGCACAGTCATCACTGAGGCGGGAGTTCTCCCTGCATGCAGCTCGAGTCTTGAGTGTTTTACGGCCACTGACGGACTGTCGTGTATCAACAGTTGTCTCCAGGATCTAAATCCTTGCACATGGCCTCCACATTTCACAACCATACGATCAGAGATGTTTGGAGTAATTATGTCTCCCTCCGTCTCGGTGTCTCCTAGTGTGTGTAAACAGCATGTGTTGGCGCTGGGCTCTTCCAGTGTCTCTTTTCCTGTGAGCCTGTTGAACATCTTTCTAGTGCCACATGACTCACAATGACCTTCTGTCAAGTGTGTTCGCTGCGGTTTATTAAGCTGTTCCAGTTGGAAAATCACCCTCTAGTTTTTGGCTCGACTTTTAGGGGTTGAACTAATGTTGATATAATGTTACCGTAACTTTTAAGCTTTTGGACTCGTTCCCACTTGAACGGAACAGTTATAGTAATGTGTTGTTATTGCTTTTTTCTATCTTCTAAAATCTTTTATTCAACTTTTCATTGGCTTGTTGTTGTTTACATAAATGTGATATTTCTTTACACATTGTATTCAAGAGCTGTAAAGTGTAAAGATTATTGCATACAAGCCATACTGCAGTGAATATGTCTGGTGCAGAATAAGAAAAAAGAAACTTAAAAGCACCAGTCTTAAAGTACAGGACATGTACAGTTCCATTTTTTTACTCAATGCATTTGTATGCTCATCTGCACAGATAAGACAGTCTTAGTGAACATGCATCGATCTGCGTGATAAACAGTTGTTTGCCCAGTTGATTTTGTTTAATTTGATTTCACGTATGATTTGGTGAGGTTCAAGGACTATGAAAAGAGGCATTATCTTGTTAGGACAATACATTATTCGTTATTTTTTTTCATTTACTGAGAAAATCAGCCTTTATTAACCCATCCAAAAACTGAAGGACATATTGGAATGCTGCTGGCGTCTTTTGCCTTAAGGGATTACAGATGACATTTATCCACGGTTTGAGTGCATTTAAAATCCCATCTTTCTATTCTGTTTACCCAGCTCTCTCTGTGAAAACAGAGTATGAAATCCCTTTTCAGAACTGAACCATCATCTGCATGAAGAGAAGCGTTGAGTGGTGTCTAGAGTTTAATCCCTTATAAAGCCTAATGCATGCCCAGCTTCATCCAGAGCATGGTGTGTTACCAGCAGTGTGACGTTTTCATCTATTATATCAGGTTTCACAACTTCTTCCAGACCCCTAAAAAGGAAATACAAGTGTCAGCCAGTGTGCTTCAGCTCCTTGATGATCTTCTACATGCTATCAGACTACCTAGAGATGATCTAAAAATATAGAAAACTGCATTTAAAGTGGACTAAATTAAACAATGCATTAGTTTACAGAGGAGAAAAGATTTATGTGCAGCTTAACTAAACTTTTGCATCACAAGAAGAGCAATTAATCACAGCTTTCTGCTGAGGCAGGGCAGGACTGTAAATAAACACATGCTGTGTGTAGTGTTAATGCCACCACAAGGCTGTGGTTCATGGCAAAACCATTAACTGAATTGCTAAAACACTCTCCTTTTTTTTGTCTTTTCCTTTTGGTGTCCTCAGAGGCCAGGTTTATTTCTGCTCATCCTATTGCTGACACGTACAATCCAGATGACGATAAGATATACTTTTTCTTCCGCGAGGTGTCATGGGAGGGCAATGACAAGAGCATCCTGTCCCGAGTGGCTCGTGTGTGTAAGGTGAGATATTACAGGAGAAATGTGTGGACAGTGCGGGGTGTGCAGAGGCACCGAGGGAAGATACATCAGTGAAGAAAGCAGGAAGGGGATGAAAGAGTTTGATGCATGGAGTTTGCAAGAACTAAAGTGCGCCCAACAGTGGAAGCACAAGACCTTTTCTACAGCACGAGGGAGCCATAACTCCTGCTGTAGTGTGAACAGATAAGGATCTTTGTGCTGTTTTTAATGTCCCTTAGAAACAACCCAAACCAGTAAATTAGTCTTTTTCTAGTTTCCTCTGCTTTGGCAGAAAAGCGATAACAATCCCTCTCAGATTAATAGCTGAAAGATCTGTCCCCTAATTATAGTCTTTTAAAGTTTTGAAAGTGCTCCCCACTAACTTGCAAAAGAAATAGTATTTTTTGGGGGAGTGCACATAGTTTTTCTTTAAATTTATTTCAATATGTGCAATTGAACCATCAGATGTGGTACTACTAGAGTTTGAACCTTTATGGGAGCAAAATTTGAAATGAACCTTTCAAAGGTTGGACGTATGTTTATAACCATTTCGTCACATTTTTCACTCCTGGTAGTTGTTAGATGTTGTAAGACATTTGATGATTATGTTTCAATGTGTATCAAATTCTATTTGACAGTATGTCAAAACAGCTTAGTTTAGACGGGGGCTGTAACAGGACAGATTCCTGTTAAGGGATAACTCTGTATACCCTACAGGAGGCCATTAGTCACTCCAAATAAGACTCGCTTGTATTATGCGCAGTGTTTTTCCCTCACTTTTGTTATCAGTGAGTGTTTTTCCCTCCGTGTTAAAGGATTTAGGCACTTAAGATCAACCCTCTTTGAAGATTGTCACCAAGTGAAACATTCTCATTAATGTCTTCCACTTTTTAGGGTATGCTTAAACACAAACGTTTGTTGTGTATTGAACCGTAACAGTCTTTTTCAATACCAGTAAGAAACCAGATCAGTTCAACAGGGGGCTTCTCTTGAGTGTTTTATGTATAAGGTAGAAGGTACCCTTGAATACTCTCAACATAACTAAGTCAAAGGTTACCAATTTAAAACAGCAATTCAAATGCTAAAGGGAAACCTGAATTGTCATGCAGAACACCACTTGATTTTAGAACTCTCTTTAAACATGCCGCATGTCCACTTCGGCCACTTCTTGTTCTCTTCAGATTTTCCCCCACTTTGAGTGTTCCTTTGTGTTCCTCTGTCCTTTCCCTTTTCATTAACCAGGTGTAATTTCAATAAGTGTCTCCTCTGTGTTAGCTAAGATATATAGCTCATATATATCTTTCTTTTTTCTAATTATTGAAGTAAACCAGATATGAGGTTATGTGGTTTTGTCACTGAGTTTATACTTGTGTTACAGAATGATGGTGGAGGGCTGAGGAGTCTCACCAATAAATGGACAACCTTTCTCAAAGCCAGGCTTGTGTGTTCTGTCCCTGGACCAGATGGTGTGGACACACACTTTGATGAGCTCCGTAAGTGATTAAGAGACTGTGAAAGTGATGCTGGACAATGAATTGACTTATATTTTGTAGGTTTCTAGGAGTTTAGTGTGTGGTACTTTATAAAATTACCAAATTCTATTAGTGTTAGCTGAGTGGATCCTCTAGCTTATATTAGATCATTTCGGATGGCTTTTTAGCTAAACTTAGTATGTGCAAGTGCAGAGAAAACTAGCTAAATAAGTAAAGTATCGCTCCATTTCTCTTGAAGAGGACATATTTCTGCTCACCACCAGAGATGACAAAAATCCAGTAATATACGCAGTCTTCACCACTTCCAGGTAAGTTCAGTTTTCGTCACACCATCATCATCACCATAGGTTGGCTTCTTTTTTCTCACTCGGATTAACCTAATTTGTTATTTTTACTTCCTTTCCAGTTCTATTTTCCGTGGCTCAGCAGTATGTGTGTACAGCATGGCAGACATAAGGGCTGCTTTTAACGGACCTTACGCCCACAAGGAGGGGCCCGATCACCGATGGACAGAGTACGAGGGGAGAATACCATATCCCCGTCCTGGAACGGTGCGTTGTTTATCCTCCTGAGGAGCTCAGAGATGTGAAACAGTATCATGCAATCCCCCCTAGCCACATATGGTTCTGTTTTCACAAATTCGAAACAAAAAGAAAACATCTTTGCATTTTTTTGGGATTACACAGTAATAAACATTGCCTAATTGAAATGCAGTGACTTTTAAGGGTTTAATGCTTTTAAAGCTGCAGGGTATTCAATCATTTACACATGTAGCCTCATCATGAAAGACACAATTTTAACTTCACTGAGGATACTGGAGATGGCAATCAGATTCTCGTTTAATTTGTTTATAACATAATGTCAAAGTAGAAAATGGTATGCACAAAGAAAGCATTGTACAGGATTCAGGTGTACTATTGTATATATAGAAAGAGGGATGAGGAGTAACTCAAATGTTCCACGTGCTCTGCTTTCTGCAGTTCTTACTATTTCCACCAGATGGCAGCATTATCCATGAAATATTTATATGGATTCCACTTGATATTTGAAAGGTTTGATATTAAAAGATGCAAATGATAAAGAAATCAAATGTCTAAATTGTGCTCCTTAGTGTCCCAGCAAGACGTATGATCCGAGGATTAAGACCACTAAAGACTTCCCGGATGACGTCATCAGCTTCATTCGATACCACCCTCTGATGTTCCGTTCTGTGTACCCTCTGACCGGAAGGCCTGTGTTCACACGGGTCCGAGTAGACTACACTCTGACTCATATCGTGGTGGACAGAGTTTTGGCAGATGATGGGCAGTATGAGGTCATGTTTCTGGGAACAGGTAAGGATGTGTTAATTTTTTTTAGGTTTCCCTTTTTGAACAGCAGAGGGCAATAGTTATACATTCAATTTCATTTTCTAACACATACTATGGCTTTATTCAGCTGGAGATCTTTATGTTTCCCTTCTTAAGCAGGGGCATACTTGTGCATTTCAAATTGCATTGTTCAGCAGAATTCTTAGAAGTAGAATTTGATATGCTCCAATGTTGAACAACTCATGATTTGGGTTATTAGGTCTGTGCAAACATAACTTGCTTAATTCCTGAAAGAACATCTTTCTTCCTTGTATATCTTCTGTTTGTGATGTAGATGCTGGCTCAGTTCTGAAGGTTGTTAGTATCACTCAAGAAAACTGGTCAACAGAAGAAGTGATCCTTGAGGAGCTCCAGGTTTTCCAGGTGTGGTGCACAACATCAGCACGTGGGCAAATCCATGAACAAAGAGTTTTTATGAGTTGGGCGTGATGAAAGCTAATAAAATCTTTAACAGTGACAACTGACTTATGAACCTGTCGAGTATTTTCCAAACCTTGTGGACCAACGTAGCTGTTACACAATTTGCTATGAGACTGGGTTCGTTAGGCTGAAGGATTTTAAAAGTTGTTAATCAACTATTTTTAAAAGGTACCTTTTATTTTTTCCCATTTTACAGGGTTCTTCGCCCATTCTGAGTATGGAGATATCTTCCAAACAGGTGCGTCCTTCCTTTCCTCAGTATTAAATCATGCTTTGGTGCCGTCATTTACACAACATGCATTTGGCCACGCACACGTTTCACAACACATGCAACCTAAATAATAATTTTCTCACAGATTTATTGAAATTTGCCCCTGCCTTCAACTCTGATTTCTTGTTGCTCTCACACCCTTCCGCCTCATTACCTGAGGGTCATGAGTGTCAGTAGACACTTCCACCCCAATCACAACCCCCATTAATCTCCAGCACTGTTTGACCCGCGCCTGCTTGCCAGTGTCAGATTAGATCATCAGAATTGCATTTGTTAGAGGCACATAAACTGAGAAATATACAATCATTGTTGTCCGGTTTTAGATAAAATTCTTATGAGTTCACATTTTGAATAGAATTCAATTCTATTGATACAGCTTGTGTATTATTTTATACCTGAGCTGATATTTGTAATCAGGACTTTTCTGAGAACATTTTGATATATAAAGTAAGTTAACTTTTTTTTTTAAGGAAAAACATTGTTTTTCCACAAAGTGATGAAAACTTTTCAGCTTGTGTCCAAACTACGAAGCCAAAAAAGTCAAGAATAAGAAAAATAGTGCAGCTGGATGATGCATGGGTGCACAGATTCTGTTGTGCTTTCTGTATGTGTTCAGCATGTTTTTTAGCTCACTATCCAGAAACTTCCCCTCTTCCTGCTCACTATTCTAAAGTCACACTGTGTTTACACAGAAACAGCTGTACGTTGGATCGAATGAGGGCTTGGCCCAGGTTTCACTCAGCAGATGTCACCTGTACGGTCAGGCTTGTGCAGAATGCTGCCTGGCACGAGACCCCTACTGTGCCTGGGACGGACACACATGCTCTCAATACATCCCTGCATATAAGAGGTAAGACAAATGGTAAATGAACTCCTCCCTGAGACTTTTTTTTAAATGTTAGTGGTTTACAAAGTACTTTGCTACTTTTATGGACAAGAGGAGTCAATCCAGATGTCTTTTGAGGAAACACTAACTGTCTACTATTGGTACTGAATGGATATAGATGCATTTCCATACCTCCAGACTGTAGCTCAGCAGGGGTGCAGTGTGCAAGCTACTTCTTCCTTGTTTTAGGTCTTTTGCTTTCTCACACATGTTTAAGTTACACAGGATCTACCCCGTAGGGTTTTGAGTTCATACAGCCGTATTATTAGCCAGTGGGGATGTTGTTATTGTTTGGGCATTAGTGGAGGCCCTGTTTTTAGTCTCCAATACTCTTTGAAAGTAGATCTTCTTTGAATGTGGACTGCAGATGTTTCAGCAAGAGGAAGTGGAGGAAGAAGTCAATATAAACTTAAGGAGCCCAAGTGAGCCACACCAAATAAAGAGGCAAATAAACATACCATTTGGATTAAAAAACTGATCTTATTTTCAAATGAAATTTGATGAATTGTGTAATAGTGAGATGTATATAAAATATATGAAAGGTTAGAATTGTCCAGATAGATATTTATTCCATTGCTGACATTACAAGTTAAATACTCAAAAAGGTCTGATGGAAAACACACACGTGGTTGATGTATTTGCATACTGAGGTTCTTCAACTATCTTCATGATTTGATCAAATCAGTATGCATTTTCATTAAGTTAAACATTTATGTTATGAATTCAGATAGTAATTGTTCATAATGTGCGTCTTTGCTGTACAGGAGAGCCAGAAGGCAGGACATCAAGCATGGAGACCCAGCGAGCCAGTGCTGGGACACACAAGACAGTATGTAGACGTAACACTTCGTATTAAACCTATCCACACAATCCTATAAATGCAGTCAACTATTGCACATCTATTCAACAGATGATGGACCATTTAAAGAGCTTTTAAGGCTTTTCTACTGTAGTATAAGACATTTCATTAAAAATAAAGTGTTCTTGTCAGCTCCAGATTCCATCTGCAGTTTGAAAAGACTTTAAACTCAAACTGTATCTTGAGTCATAGTGAAAATGAAGCCCTAAAATTCTTGGACAACAAAGTTGTATCAATCACTTCATGACCCCTGTTATGATACATTGTGACAAGTGATAGTTAAAAGTCTTGTTTTTCAGGTCTTGGCGGAGGACAAGTGGAGGACAAAGTTATCTTTGGAGTTGAGAGCAACTCCTCCTTCCTCGAGTGTATCCCCAAATCCCAACAAGCACAGATCCGGTGGTACATCCAAAGACCTGGAACTGATCACAGGGAAGAGGTCAGGTTAAGTCATCTAGACATGTGTACACACAGACACACACACATACACCATCTAAACACTGATTGGTCTGTCTCACTCCACTCTTTCTTATGTCTAAAGGTAAACATTGTATCAGATTTTCATCTGATTCACATGTTTTCTTTTAGAATGGAAGGACAATTATTGTTACATAAGAACTTCAGTTAAAAAAACCTCAACATACTTGTATTCAAATTGACTGGCATCAAAGTCTGAGACTGCAACCCTCCACAACAAATCACATCAATGCTTCTGTAAATTTTTCTCCAGAGTCCAGTGTGTTTTAGTGATCTGAAAACATTTCCTGAAATATTCACAGGAAAACGGGTATTTATATTTAAAGTGCAGAGAGGAACTCATTGATGATGACTCTTTTGAAAGAAACAACAAAGATGTGCTCACTCAGCTCTTCAGCTCCAATCCACATGCACAAAACCTTCCTACACACACCACGAATGCCCCCCTCACTGTTAAACCCACCCACTCCTCATCTGTGTCTCCACTTCCCTCCCGTTTAATTTACTCTCACCATGGACTCCTGTCATTTTTTTCAGGGGTGAGTTTAAGCACCAACAGGTGCAGAATCCTTTAAAGGCCCATGTGTTTCTTTACTGGTCCACTTTACAAAAGCCCTGTGTTTTGTGTCAATGTGTAGGTGTGTGTGCATGTGTGTATTTGTGGGTGTATTCCTTTTTTTTCCCTCTATTTTTCCCCTAAAAGGTCAATCGTAATGGGTCTCTCCTCCTGAGGCAAAGTTACTAAACATGTCAAGGTTCAGTTAAGGTAGAATATTCTAAAATGAGGCCTGTAAGTGAAGAGCAAGCAAGTGACATGTAAAACCTTTCATTAAAATGAAAATTTTCTGCAGTGGCATGTAATCCAAAAGCTGTGAGAGGCCTTGAGAACTTACTAAATGTGATATGATATCTGATTAAAAACTAACAACAATATAAAACTAGCCATTGTAGGTGGTGAAAGAGACTAGTACACATACACAGCTATTTTAACTACATGTGATTTTAACTGTCTTGGTTTTCAAAGGGTTCTTCATGTCTTGGAACTTGATTTTGCTGTCAACACCTGTTTGTAGATAGTACAGAATAAGTTCTTGCATTGTATGAATTAGACTATTTTCTGATACAGAAAAAAAAGAAAAGCAAAGTAACCCATCTATGTAAAACCAGAAACTACATTTCTGGTTTGTAGTTGTAGGATATCTGCCTTTTCCCACAGCTGGGCAGCTGGCTCATTTAACTCTCTCAATCTATGTTTTTGCCCCCGCTCTGTTTCCTCCTGTCTTTCATCCCGTCTTCCTCTCTGTCCTTTGGCCTTTCTCATCAGTATCACTCTAATCTTTCCTCACTTCCTGCCTTCATGCTCCTCGGTTTATCCACTTAGTTTCCTCACACCTTTCATGTTTTCTACACAATTTCCCACAGTTTTTCCCTGCTGCGTTTTTGGGTTTTGATAAAGGCATATTCCACCAGCTGTTCACAGCACCTGCAGCCCGGTCTAATATTCACTCTCCCTATGCACCCCCTCCTCGTACCCTGTTAGTAAAAGTAAGATAGTAAAAATGTTTGCTGGAAGAACCTTAGGTGTCTTTCTCACAATGTGTTTGTGTGCGTGTGTTGGTTTTCATGCTTTCGCCTCCTGGAGACTGGAATGCTCGCCCATTAAGAAATTACTAATACGAAAAGAATGGGTGATGTCGAATGTCATGAACGGTGCTCATTAGAACAAAAAACAACCTCCTCAAAACCTGGAAAGCTCTAAATCTGAAGGCTGAGATACACAGAAAAAATAACTTTACGGCAATTCTGATTCCTTTGTTAAAATAGAAGTTTTATTAGTTCACACAACTACCATATTAATATCCATTGCAGTGTGCTTTGAAAGAACAAACAAAATCTGCAGTACTTTTTAAATACTGCATTGCTATCCACTGAAAGAGGATTCTGGCTTTACTGCCTCGCCATAAACATACACATGAGCCTAAAAAGAGAGACCATCTGTACAAGTTTGAATATCTGGCATTGACATGCAGCCACAGGGGAGCTTAAAAGACTCACTAATAAGCACATAAATTCTGAGTGAATGATTCAAAAGTAGACAGAAACTTGTATATGTGCGGCATTTATGAGCTTAATATAGATTACATTTGTTTTGTCGGGCCACCAGGTCGAGACAAAAGAATGTGGTAAGACATGGAGTCCTAAGTGATATATATGTAGGGGTCAACTTTCAGACAGGCTGAGGTCTAAAGGTCTGTTTCTGCTTGAATAGCACATCATCAGTGTCAGACCTGAACACCACCACAGAGTTTTACACACATTAAGACACACACAAACTCACAGACTTCTGTGTCAGGAAAGGAGAAAAACAAAGCCACGGAATGATATTCTCCCTTTTCTATCAGTTCCACCCAGTCTGGGTTAAAGCAGGGTTATGGGAGGTAAGCATTTAAAGAAGCCAAACACACTCAGGCACACACATGCTTTTCTCTGTCCTCAACACAGCTGTGTTGTTTTAGGCTCTGGCAGCAGCTGAAACACACCACCTGATAATTCATGGTGGATGCTTAATGAAAAGAGGGGCATAAATATTAGAATTCCTCTTTTTGTCACACCTAAGCAACAAGCACATGCTTTCAGAAGTACCAGTGCAAACACTTTACCCATCTAAAAATCTCTCATCACCATATGATGACCTCTGACACCTGCATACACACAGACATTTCAGGGATCATTAACCTGTTTACCACACCGTGGATGCAAATCTTGCTGAAAATGTATGTGTTAAACAGAGATTTTAGACATCAAGCTAAAGTGCAAATGATTCATTATTTGAAAAAACTGAAACAAAAAAGTTTTATTTGTATAGCTTACCTGTGAACGTGATAAATGATCCATGTGTGTATTCAGGTTCTGTACCTTGGTAAAGTACCTTTACTCTTCTTGTCTTTTCATGCCACCTTGTATGTTGTCCCCTGCAGCTCAGAGGGTGATATCAATCTTTTCTGTGAGATTTGTTCTTTAGTTTTATTTTGTCGAAACAGAATGGGCACAAAGAACAAATAACGATGTAACTAATTAATCATTGGTGGAAAAAATAGGTTTAGTATTTTCCTGAACATAATCATTATTTACCATTATATCCACAATAGATGAGCCCATCTCAACACCTTTCTTACAATCATGACATAATAATGGAGGACAGTTAAAGCAAAAATGCTTGTACTTTCACTAAATCTAACACTTTATGACATATTCATTATAAAATGTTTTACCTTGCTCGTATCTTAAGTGCAGGACTTTAACCTGTGATAAAGTACAATGAATATGTGCTACGAACATTTTTCCTCCCCTGAGAACAAGTGGGCACTTTTTTCATAGCAGCTGCTTTAAATCTTTCGATTTTCAAGGACATGAAAAAAAAAAGATGACGCTGACATTGCTCGATCCAGCAAGACATTTTTCATTGTGATGTGGCTCATAGGTTTTCCTCTTGGTCTCTCAGGTCCGACTGGATGATCGTGTCGTACGCATAGATCGAGGACTTCTGATTCGCAGGCTCCACACTTCTGATGCCGGCGTGTACATCTGTGTGGCTCAGGAGCACACGCACTTCACCTATACCCTCCTCCGCATCACGCTACAGCTCGTGACACATGGACAACTTGACAGAAAAGTCAGGCTCAGCGAAGACCCCCCAGCGGAGTCACACCATGGAGCAGAGTCCCGTCAGCGCTACAAAGACTACATGAGGGTCATGAGTGCTCCCTTCCGCTCCCTGGAAGAGTACTGCGATTCACTATGGCTGAATAAAAGGTCGTCGAGGGTGCGTGGACGGGTTTTAGGAACCGGGAAATGGAAACACATTCAGGAAATAAAGAAGAGCAGGAACAGGAGACACCACAGAGAAAGGGAGGAAGAGAAGATTGTGCGAGAGCAGTGAAGACAATTCAGTTCAGTTCAGTCCAAAGCCTTAAGGTCCACTGTGTATATGGGACACAGAATTGTAACTTTGCGGAGTCAGGTGTGCAGTGATTTAATGCCATTAAGCATTTACAATCAAATGAGCGTTCAAGATCTGAACATTCACACTAAGTTATTAGATGTAGCATTGTAGTGTGGGTATGCCACTTCTTTATCTGCAAGCCACGATTAATAAGGAAATGGACAAAGTTTAAGCAGACATGTATTGTCCTCCATGATATTCTTTGATAATCCTATGTAATTTCCTTGAGCATTAAAATAAGTAAGACGAGTCTGAAATCGATATTTCAAAGAGCAATATTCTCTCAGGGGTTAGAATCCACAGTTACAGCATGAATAGTCTTTCTTATAGTTTTGTTCATTTTCTTTCAGCATTACTGCCAAATCTTCCAGATATCTCAGGTGATAGTAGGATATTAGAAGATTTGTTCAAACAAAACAAAGTGTGCATTATATTGACACTGCATTCATGTTGAATGACTGTAAATAGTTATGTAATGTGTACAGGAGATACAGCATGCTCATTTTTTGTCAATCTTCCATTTTGTATATCTATTTTAATGCTTATTGTTACGTTTGGCTGAAAAAATACCATATTTTTGTACAATCCATTATTTCTTCTTTACTGTAGCTTGGAAATAAGCTTTCATTTATTACAGTTCCAGAGGGGGTGTTTAAATAAATTTGTTTAGCTCCTCTGTTCCCTGACTTGCCTTCTTACTGTGATTCTGGTCAGAGATTGAGTCAATCTCTCGCACATCCATTGCTGCAATTAAATCAGGTTTTAAGCTTATAGATGCCATTCAGAGTTGTCTAGTTCAGGTGAACCTCTCCTGGTATAGTAAAAAAAAGTCCCTGTACTGTAGCTCACTTGTTTAATGTAAAGTGTGATTATGGTTTTATGTAAGAGGGAATTAAATAGAAAATAGGCATCTCTGAAAAAAGAGTGGGATGTTTTAGGTTGCCAAAAAACTACTGCCATCAATGGAGTAACTGAAAATACCAAGCATTACACAACCTAACAACCCCACCCTGCCTGATGATGATGATTATTACATGATCAATTGAATAAAATACAGAGTGCATTTACACTGTACAAGTCTGATAATAACAAGACAGCCCTTAACCGAATAGAGGAACTGTTCAGTTTGATTCTGTCAATAACAGAATCAAAATGCACACACAAAACACACACACGTCTTTTGTCTTCGTCTACAGAGAAATTTCATATTTGTTGTTACAAAGACGATAAATATTTCAAATGCTTTTTCTATGTTTATAGTTTATTTATCAGTTAGCTGGAAAGAAAGAAACTACATCTCCCCAAAATGGGAAGCAGTGAAGGGACACTCAGAAAGCTCAAGAACAAGCTGTAAGAAGGCATCTACTAAATGCTTAAAAGGTGTATTCATTGTTTATTTATGTTTGAATCCATCTATTTGTTGGAGAAGAAAGACAACTAATATATGTGTCATGCAAAATATTGAACTTTTATCAATCCGATGAAACTATAATTTGTTAATATAATTCATTCATCTGCTAGTAGCTGGGGATACAGGAGCTTTACAGGGATTGCACTTTAGTCTCATGAAGAAAGCATGGACCAAAAATCAAATGGACTAAATCTTTCTAAATTGTTATAAACTTTGTTGTTGAAGAACACTATCAATGTATTTGTATCTGCAGCTAAATGTCTTTTCATCATTCGCATGGTTTTTGACGCCTATTTTTCAAAATATGATTTACTTGAACTTTACATTTGTCTGGAGAAGAATTTGTGAGTGAAGATGAATTGCTTCAATAGGCAGGCAGACAGAAGCAGCAGGGGTTAGACATGGAAAGAGAATTCAAGGAAATAAACCAGGGTTTCCAGAAGGAAGTGGTTAATTTGATGTGATTGATGTAATGAGCAAGCAAGGCTGCCCAGGAACCCCTGTAGAGGAGCTTTTGAGTTAACTCGCATGGAGACAGAGACGCATGCAAACGGCGTAGCTCTTTTCAATGAATTATCTCTTTTTGTTAAACGCTTGATTGCGTCCATTGAACCAAACAGTGTTGCATATAGCACTGCGGCATTCACAATAGCAGGCTCTTATAAATGGTTGACCTCTACCTCTAGCAATTTCATGTAATTTGTCTAGCCTGCGGTTTCCATGTTCAGTTTACTCTTTTATCTACTCCCACATGATTGATTTTCTCATTGCGGCATTATGAAAATTTTGAAGACAACATTCCCCACGCTGTAAAGCAGTATTTTGAATTAACTGAATTATTTATTTTAATCCTCCTGCAGCAAATTTAAGTTGTTGATCTGATATAAATAATAATATTGGCTGAAATAAGGACTCGGACTCGTACAATTCCCTTTTTTTAAATCGACAAATGCAATAAAATGAGTCAGTGTCCGGTAAAGCTGTCCTGTCCTCGTACAAGAATTCCAAAACACAGCACTGCTTCATTTCTGAATTCCACAGTGCCATGCCAGAATGAAGATATCAAAGACCATGACAGGAAGAGCAGAGCAGAAAAAAAATGGTAAAGAGCGGAATTGAGATGTCAGACCACAGAGTTGTTTCAGCCTTTATATTATAGGGTATTTACAGGCGAACAGATGTGTGTTTGTCAGGCGCTGACAGTGAACTTCTGGGCCGGGGTGGAGACAGCCAAGTGCTGTGTGGGAGCTGTCGGATTGGACAGTATTGATGGCTGCCTTGGGGTATTGGAAGGAGGGAGGTATGTGTGTATAAGCTTGAAACAGTTGTTCCACTAGAGTAATGACTACCTGTGCTCCCCTGCCTAATTTATAGACATAAGTGATCTCTCATCACCCCAGGATCTGTACAAGGGCAGACAGGATGCAGTGGATATCCAAACACACCTCATGATGGATGTTTTCATTTGTGGTACCACAGGCTCCTTTGAAAATCCACGTAAATAAGACATCTCCCAGTCCTGTCATTCTTTAATTGAATGGCTCTATAGCTAGAACTAAATTCCGATGTAAATCTTTTAATCTCTGCTGTTGGGTTGTTGCTACTGATTGGGATGTGGATGTAGACTGGTTTTTCTTACCAAATGAGATTTGACCTGTTGTCAGTAAATTACAGGGGTCAAAACAGTCACACTGTGGGCTCAGAAAATACTGTATCATATTCCATTAGAATTACAGGGAAGTGTGTCCATACCAAGCACCTTGCTTGTCTTTTTCTCTGTGGCAGTTTCGATGGCGCGGTGGCCCCTTCATGGACTCCTACATTCTAATGATGCTGACTGTGTGGTTAAATAAGGTAGCAGTCCATTCAATCGAAACTTAATATGTCTCGTTGGAACAAAATCGACTCTACCTTTGAGTTGTACATGAAAAATGGGGAACATTTTAATTGTATTTCCTCTAATGAAACAATAAACCATTCAATGCAGGCACACTATATTCAAAAGGGGAGTCAGACTTCTAATTACTCCAGCATATAACTAGTGTTTAAGAACAGAATCTGGTTTATGTAAGCCCTTTTGGCAACCAACGTTCCACAGGTGAACTTTGAACTTTGCTAAATCACCCTTTGACCTTTTCCTCTCCTTCACTCTGCTCTCCAGTTTCCATAGTTACATATCTGTTTTCCACATCTTCATATCAAAATCTGCAAAGCAGAGTAGTGTCCTGTTTGCTGCCTTCTTCAGAAGAAGAAGTAAGACCCAAACAGCTGGGAAAATGAAGTTCTAAATGAGGATGGAAATAGTGTAGAGTAATAAAATGCTGTACATGATTAGTAATAGCGCTTGTGGCTGTCCTCCATGATGGAAACCCAAATCCTCAAGTGAGCACACTGTGCCATAAAGGTTAATGAGCTCAGTAAACATGGAACTCCTCAGAATTGTGTGGTCCTGGGAGGATTTTCCATGCTTGGGTGTGAAGAAAACACTCAAATTTCAAGCTTGATTTATAAAGATCAGCACACAAATTTTCCACCTTGTTTTCTTAATATATCCTTTTAAAACAGCTTCCAGGCCTGTTTTCGAAGTGAGGCTGTCAGTGTAATGACTTTATCTCTGTCAAAATAAAGACAGCATTTGTGGGAAATGTAAGACTCTTGTCATTTTTACTGGGCACACACATTCCAGCTTTATGTTGCAGTCTGCATTTATAGTGTTGGCAATGGGATCTTTAATGCATGTTTCACCCCAGGGTGTGAAAATAGAGCATTAAGGGAGATTAAGGGGTTATTTGATTTTCTAAAACTATTTCATAACACTTTTTTTGGTCAAAAATGGAATTTAGATGATTGAGAACATTTCTCCTACAGTATATTTAATAGAAAAGACAACATATCAAATGTTGAATATTAGAGCGTCTATTTTTTTAAAACCACATGTTCATTATGGGAGAAATTCCAGAGAAAATATTTTTTCAAAAAATTTGCTTTCTGCACTGACATTGAGGAAGTTACATTTGGGATTGCAGCGTGTTGGTAAAGCTGTGTATATGCAAGACCAGGATAGAACACATTCCTGGCTCAATGTGTTGCAGTATGAGAATGTGAGTTTACATATCTGAGTGTGTGTGCATGAGAGTGAGCGATTGCATGGGTGTGTGTCTCAAATTGCTGCTGGCATCTGCAGACCTCAGGAGCAAATGTAGTGTGCACATCCTTGAAATAGATATGTCTTTAGGACAGTTTGACACCACACCTCACTGACCTTTGGCCTTTTAATCTGGTTTTCCAATTGATCACAAATCCTTACTTTATCCTTGGGTTCCTCTACAGCCACACAGACTTCGATAATCTCATTTGGAAAGTACTCGTATTAGATGTCTTGCAAACTAGCTGCAAAGAAGAGATAAAATGGTCTATTTCTCCCTAAAAGACCTTCACACAAATTTGATCGTCATTTTTCCTTTAGTGGAAACTGGAGCATAGGACAGACAGGAAAATAAAAGGATGGAAATGGATACCAAATCAA